TGTCGCTTCGCGTTGAATTTTCGTCGATGTTAAGCCTAACGAAGACTATTGTATCGTTAAAAATTATTTTTTTATTTTGTACAAACAAAATAAATATATTGAAAAATATAAAAACAATAAAAAATTATACTTCAGATGTTAATTTAGTATCAAAAACGCAAAATATTTCAGTAGCCCAAGAAATAGCCGAAGATTGCAGCGCCACAGCACTAGCGAAAATTTAAATTTGCCAACTAGAATGCTTTCGGATATGTGAGTTCCCAGACGAGGTTCGAACTCGAGTAAACCGTGAAATTCTTGCGCGACACAAAATGTAAACAACGAGACTCGGAATGGTTCGGAGTATGTGTCAACTATCTGATAAGGTCTTAGCGGAAGACAAACTCTAACACGAGCGCTCATAAACAGGTAGATCTTTGACTCGCGTGTCTATAAAATGTTGGCCGAAATAAACCTTTTCGAACAAAAAAATAAAGGAATTTTTGATAGGTGAAAGGTGAAAATGATCGTTAAATTTTTAGACATCAAAAATGGTAAATAACGGCCTGAGTTATGAGTGCAGGTGTTATTATTTTATAAACAGTCATCGAGCAGAGTTGACAAAGACGTATCAGATGGACACCTCGAATCGGACCTTTCCCGAAATGCGAACAGTGGGGGAAAAACTATAAAAATCGGAACTTCAAGGTCGAAGAAGAGTCTCCTCCGGATTAAGCCTATAGTGGTGATTTAAATTGTGTTGTGCATCCGCCGCTCACCGAGGACGCCGCAACGAAACAACGAACTTCTGCTTCGTCCGGATATCCTTCTCGTCCGCCCGAACTGCAACCGAGATCACGAACTTTCGCCGTTCCCAGGAGATTTTGGAATTGTCCATTATCAATGTAAGCATGAATTCGAACAAATAAACGGGTTTTATCTTGTAAAACACTTGTACATCATTTGCCTCCTTCGCCACCGCCCACATACGCGGTTTCCCTTAGGCTCATTCTGACGTGAGATAGACTTTTTCCCCCTCAACGTCGGCAAACCTTACAGATAACAGACGTTTCAGATAACCAGCTTTCAGATAAACGACGCTTTACTGTATTCTTAAAAATCAGGCATTTGCATTTTTAAATAAACTGCAACTTTGTAATATGAAATTATTTGATAAGATTATAGATATTGCTAAGTTGTCTCATAAAATTCAAGCACATAGTAGACACAGGCACTCCTTTTTATTGAAAATGCCCAAGCCCTGTATTACACGAGCAAATGAAATTAAAGTCTTTTGTGTACTAAACTTTGATGTGTTAGCATGCAAATTTTAACAGATTATCCTTCTACTGGTTATTTTATATCAGCTGATTAAATTTCATCATCTTACATTCAGTAGAATTTTTTTCTTTAATATCAAACACAGAGAAGACATTCATTAAATATCCAGCTCTTAAATTTTTTAAACAATATGAATCTGATCTCAGATTGCCTCCCAAGGCAGTTCTTACTCACTAGGGTATATAGACAGAAGCTGCCATTTATTACATGGACCACTGAGAAAGTAAAATTGATTCTCAATAATGTAGATTCTGAGAAAGCAATGGCTGTTGGCATTGCAAAAGAAAAATTTTTAAATTTGTTAATCCATTAACATTTTGTAGAACTATCAGCAGCTGCTGGTTTCTACATGTTTCAGTTACCAGTTTGGAAACTGCAAATCTTCCATTGAGCAAAGCAATTGAAATTGTGGACAAAGTATGTAACATGCTACTGAAAAACAAAAGTAACCTATCTGAAAGGTTGTACAAAAAGCTGCAGGATAAAAATCCAGGAATTTTGGAGCAATCAATTATATCCAGCATTCTACAAGGAAATAGAGAGTGTATTTCTGGTCTAACAACTGACTAACAATAAATTTAAATAAGCACTAAATACACCACCTTGCATGGAAAGAAGTTCCTCTAAATATAAATCTATATTTTTTGAGAAAAGGCAAAGAGGTAAATGTATTTAGTGTGGTACTGCAACTATTAACTGTTGAGGAATAATGCTCGGTATCAATAAATGATTTTAAATTGTTGTTTTATTAAATCATAATTTAAAAATGTATATTTCGAGCATTTAAAGTACATAAATATATGCATATTTCAGCGATTTTATAAATTCATAAAGATCTGGCCCTTAATCCTCACAGTATTTTCATAAAGACTATAAGCTGTAAATGTATTTTTTTCCAGTCTAAAACATTATTATTATGGCTATAAGTGATATCAATTTTATTAATTTATGCATTTGTTAAAAATGGATTAGCACAATTAATTTATATGGATGTAGAATTATTTTCTTTATAAAAAGTATAAAATGATATAGACTCCATTATAGACAATAGGTTCAACAAAGAATGCACATTCTCTGGATACGCATATTAAGGAGCATTTATATTCCCTCAAAAAGGACCTACCATCTAATGCTTTGACTGCTTGCTCTAAAAATCACATAAAAGTATCTCTTGGTGAAGACCATACTTCATTCACAGACCAGGCTTTTTAAAAATCTTGAGAAATTAGAAATTTATAAATTTTATAAGGCTTCAACTAGGAGCACAGCCATAAATTATAGAGATGTTAAAACCTTATCTACAGCTTGGAAATCATTATTTCAGATAAACTTTGCCAATTCAGAGGCCTGTGAATTTTGATCCAAACAACACACTAGTTTTAAACATGGAGTTTCAATGGGAATGCCGTTGTCTCTATGGAAAACTGAATATGTACTTTGTTGTTAATTTTTCTTGGTATCTTACCATCAAGATAAATTAATAAAACTTTGCAGATATATAGATTGGACATTTTACTCTTTAACGGTATTTTTTTCAGCTTGTAACAGGTTCCACTAGGGAGTGCAAAAATGTGAACAATTCTTATTTTGATTGTTTCACACAATAAATGTGCATGTAAAACTCTATAAAAAATAATGGATATAGCTCTTATGTAGTTGTATCACATAGTTTTTATTTGATCAAAATTGGCAGTCTTTTCTGAGATATCTGGGAAAAACTACAGGAAGTTTTTAAATTTTTGCATCACAGCACATGTGAGTTCAAAGCTGAAATTTGACCTACCAAAAAAGTTTTGATCCAGTTGTAGATTTAGGCAGGAACACCATAGACTGTAGTAATGCCCTTTGGAATGAGATTATAGAGTTTTCAATATATAGAATAATTAAAAATTTTTATTAAATTTAAAAAAAAAATTTTTAATTAAATTTTTTAAATTAAATATTTGTTTTAAAAAATTATTATTATTTAAAACAAATATTTAATCTTAAATTATATTTTATGAATAGAAACCAAAAAGACATTGGAGCAACATGCTGCTGAATTATACAGAAATGCAAACAGAATATCTACAGACTTAAAAGGTAAGCAGAAATAACCAAATTTTAATATAATACTTATACTTTATCATCCAACCATCACTCACTCCCTTGTCCTATTTAAGTAAGATCTGGTTTTGTTATTTTAGCCATCAATCTATTCTATTGTTAATGTATCCCTCCTATATTCCTAATTCTAACATATATTTCTAGTAACTAACATTCAAGATTTTTTGGACTGTTTGTATATTAAATCTTAGATATAAGTTCCCAATTTTCCTTATTAACACACACTCATTTTTTCACAATATGATCTAACCATTTAAGTTTATTTTTCATTAATTTATTATATGTATTATTTACATCTGATTTATTTGTAATCAGTCTATTTTTGATTTTATTTCTTACTAGCTATACCGGGCCACGCTTTGCTGTGGCTCAAAATGTATCTATTATAAATGTATAACACTCCCCGCGGGGGGGAATTTAGAAAAATCCCTTCTTAGTGTACATTCTCTTGACGAACCCTATTAAAATGCAATCAAAAATGCAAAAAACTGCTTCTAAAATATTATAATAGAAGCTGAGTTCTTCATGGTAAGCCTTAATTTTGTTTCTCTCCCCCGCAGGAGGAAATTTTGACATCTGTATAATATAAAAACATGTGCATATTCGAATGTAATGTTGTTTCAAAATTTCAAAGCAATTGATGATGAATTTTCAGAGATTTAAGATTTTGAACAAGTGAACATTTACATTTTTATTTATATAGATTGTTATTCTGCTCATTCATATATTTTACATAATGAAATTTATTTACTACAATTTAATTAACTTTCTTACCTTTACATTGTGGAAAATAGTTGTATTAAAAAAAGGATTTACTTCATACTACAAAGAGATTTTTTAAAAGAATAAGCTAATTTTCTTCTGTATAATCTAACAGATTTTATCAAAATTGTATAAATATATTAATTAAAAGTAGTTATTATTTTAAAATTTAAATATGTTTTATGAAAATGATACATCATTAAAAATTAACTGAATATTTAAATGCAAAAAATTTTTATTTTCAAAATTTTCAATGCAGTTAATCAGTGACCTGGAAATTTTTGAATTAGAGTATCATTCCTTATACCTTACTATATAGACCAGGGGTGGCCAACTTTTGTGTACATAAGATCTACTTTTTACCTTAAAAATGTGTCGCGATTGACTTGTCGTAGGCGTAGTCTAAGTGGCGAGGGGAGACACAGAGGTTCTATATCAGTACAGTTGCGTTTGCGCATTATGTTCACGCGTTGCATTTGGTTACAAGTGTAACACATTAAGTCAAGACATTGCGCACGATCGACTTGTTGGCTACCCCTGATATAGACAAAGGATTCCACAATCCAAATTATCCAGGATAAATTATGAGAATCCTGATCAAATTTCAAACCTAGATTCTCACACTGATGGACTGATTCTTTACTTTGTGACTATTAATCAATAATAAAAAATCTCAAAATTCTTATAATTATTATGTATTTTTATAATGTAGGTATGATTAGAGATATTAAGACCAGATGTGCTGAAACTGCCAGTGAAGCAGATATCAGAGTGTATGAAACACAGGTAAATATTATTTAATAAAGTAGAATTAATTATATATTGAAAATTATAACCAACCAATGGTATTAAGTGGGGCAAATAAATGAAATAAAATTAATTTTAGTTTATTTATTTGCTTTACTAAATGTTAATAAAATCAGAATTTTAATTAATTATTTTTTAAATAACTGGCATTTAAAAAAAATTAAAAAACAATTTTTTAAAATGTATACCTTGAAATATATTATAACTAGCGACCCCACCACGCGTTGTTGTGGCTCAAAATGTATCTATTATAAATGTATAACACTTCCCCGTGG